CTCATCCATATTACCACACACACGCACAATTCTCATATACTCGTCTATATTACCACACACACTCTCACTTTTTATATACTCGTCTATATTACCACACAAACATACTTGTCCTTTTTCGTTGCGCTGTAGAGCATGTATGTGGACTCGATGAACTCAGGGCGCAGCAGATAGTGCGGATCGGTCTGAGATCCATCACGCGCGAATACCTACAGGTGCGAGGACTTGCATGAGATGCCCATTCTCTCAAATAAGTTTTTTTTAAGTACGAGGAAAACCTAGGTTTATGACCACACACTCGGGAGAAATAGCCGGGGTTATCGGTACACAAGTACGAAGAAAGGGAACAGGCACGGCAGGATGCCTATGGTCATATTGTGTGAATAAGCGAACGAGCAAAAGGCTTTCCAATGGAGAAACGCATTTTTCGCACGTATGATTTTGACTACACAAACATACATACTGTATAAGCATTATACGCACTCATACCTACCACACAGATACATATATGTGTATGTAATACAGCAGAAACATGCATTCTATATCAACATCACATGCACTCATACCTACCACACAGATACAGCAATAAAAGTCAGTAAGAGTTTAGAGGCGGTAGCTTGTGTGATTATCATCGAGGCTGCCTGTTAATATTAGTCTTAATACCCTCGACTACACATGTGAACGTACCTCTGGTATCTTTATTTATGAGTTGTTGTCACCAGAAGTACTTAGGGTCAATAGCTCACATGGCCTCCTTGTCGATAGTTAGAGATATGTGTATGTACATAGGTATACAATCAAACATCATATAATAGATGGAGCTATCAACACTCGTGCATGCTATGCACGTAGGTTGATCTGTACGAACACGCAGATATACACTTCACACACGTATGAACGTATATCTACACTATATATATACACGCGGGACGATTACACACATCTGTCGACTTATACCTACATAGACATATACCTACATAGACTTATACCTACATAGACTTATACCTACATAGACTTATACCTACATAGACTTATACCTACATAGACTTATACCTACACAGACTTATACCTACATAGACTAATACTTGCATAAACTAATACCTACATAGACTTGTACCTACATAGACTAATACCTGCATAGACCTATACCTACACAGAATTATACCTATATAGTCTTATACCTACACAGGCTTATACCTACATAGACTTAACCCTACATAGACTTGTACCTACATAGACTTATAGATGCATTGGGTATGTATATGTGCGACCGTAATCCGGATGTAATTGAGTGGTTGTTGTGTGTAATTGTGCGAATACTGCTGTTAGATACTAGGGCCATACACAGGTCACTCACAAGGCACGCATGTGCTTATAGCAGCCCCAACGTACCTCAGCGTATATCTACAAACGCTCGTGCCTACCTGCAACCATCACTACATACCATTTACACACACTCACGCATATCATATACACGCACTCATGCATACATCAAACACACACTCATGCATACATCATGCACACACTCACGCATACACCTGTGCATACCTCGGGGATGAGATTGCGGTTCTTTTGGGCCACTGTGTGCAGTGCTCTATAGGCCACCTTTGCGTTGTGGACATCGCCTACAAGCACTTGAAGTCCTGGGAAGAACGCCTGCAACGCATCCAGATGGGGAGTTTTCATGTACACCTGAATGTATACGAAACAGGGCAGGGCAGGACAAGACAGGGCAGAACAGGGCATGAATTGGATGTGTGCGTATAGTTTAGAAGGGTTGAATGCAATTGAAGCACACCTGTATCAACACCTGGACCGTGAAGATGGAGGGGGTTCATTTAAACCTATATGTATACGAAACAGGACAGGACAGGACAGGACAGGGCGTGAACCGGATGTGTGTGTATGGATTAGTAGGTCTGAATGAAGTTGATGTAGTTATATAACTATACTAGGTACGAGAGGAAGCATGAGAGTTGATTGGATTTGTATGTAAAGCTCGAAGAAAAGCGGTCAAAAAACAAACCAAAAGTCGGATAACTCAGCTGTGTCTATTCGCCCTGGGTTAATATAACTACCCACAGGGTGGGTTGAGATGAGATTGGTACATTTGCTGTTGGTATTTAATTATACTTTGTCATAAATTATTACAATTTGTCTATAAGCGCTGGGTCCTATAGTTCCGTGTATTTGCCTGTTTCATCCGCCACAAGTTCTAAATTTGGCCCACCCCAGCCACTGTCTTCTATGAATAACGCACCAATGGCTGCAAAGATTTTTATCATGTGGTCATTCATTGGTCCAACACACCTGACCTCTGGAAGCCCTAGAACTATTGTTGAGGTACACCCCTCCTGCGCGCGCCCTCTAGTATGCAATTCACAGATTTCGTGGAGAAAACACATACACGTCCATAACAGCACATATGCTATTTGACTAGAGATATACGTTCGAAGGGTACCTTAAACGTTTATGCTTTTGTACAGTAACTGATCTACCTGTCCTGTATGCGTGTGTATACGAAACGTGTAAACTACACTTGCTGAACAAACACACACACACACGTGCAAACATAGCCATAAACGCACACACAAACATATATATATATATATATATATAT